TGAAAACATTGTTCGAAAAAAATTTATTAACATTGATTACTTTACTCTATTAAATATTTTTAATTTGGAATTCGGCTACCCAAAAGAATAAAATAGATGTGAATTGAAAATCATAAATAGATATTACATATTTATATGCTAAACTGGGTTAATAAAATTACGCGAAATTTTGTTAACTTAGTTAATTTAGTGGATTTATTCAATTAATTTAATAGAATTAAGTGAAATTTTATTAACCTTACTTTTTTATATGTGCACATCTTTTTTTGTGATAATTTTAAAAACATTTCAAGATTAAATTTAGTGGATAAGATTTATAGCAAAGAAAATACTGATTAATATAGTTGTAGTTGGTTTGTCGCTTTCACTGATTTCACATCATAATACCACGTCAATATACTATTTACGGCTTAATTATTTTTATTAATTTCTCTTAATTTCAAAAAAAAAATCAAAAAATTGTAAAAAAATGTATTGAAAAATAATATATGCCATAATATTATCTTAAATTTTGAAAAATAAACTTTTCATGTATGCTATGGTAAAATATTTGTATCAAAGTTCGTATATGGATAAAAGTTTATGAAAAAGAAATATTTTAATGTTTAAAAGTTTAGAAAATCTAATAGTTATTTGTTAGGAATTATGTATTAATACAGTAAGCAATGTATTATTTATGAATAAATTTGCATAAAGCAATATATAATAAAGATTTCAATAAACAATTTCAAAGTTCAATACGTATAATGCATGTAAAGTAGAAGCATATATTTTTGTTAATGATAAACCCGAAAGTTTTTATTGTTATAACTTTCCATTTAGCTAATCGAACAATAATGCTTAATGGTGATTTCTTTTTTTTTTTCCATCTTCTTTTCATTCTTCTATTATAATACAATCAATTTGATATTTGTGTCGCTCTCTCAAAGATTGAAGGAATGTGGAAAGAATACGATCATTCAAAGTACTAATTTTTGTTTTTGAGAAATTTTTGAACTAACAGTGAAAAATTGGCAAGAATCAGAAGTATAATAGTATCTAAATCAAACGTTGTGAATGTCACGAAACATTCCTATCAAAAATTGAAATTCCAAAAGAGTCGGATATTAAATATTGAAATATTCGAAATCAATTGCTTATATTTGTAATCAAATGTCATAAAATTATATACAATTATAAATGCTTCATAATTTTTTGTTGTATCTGTTATTGAATACATTTACGGCAAATATTTTTCTTCTTCAGCACGTTGTTCGAGTAATACCGATTGTGCCAGTTCACGTTTTGCTGCACGATCACGATGTTCACGGTGTATACGGCATGACCGTATCACAAGTAGTATTATTGCTAACAATATTATCACACCCAATAAACCTAGAAAAAAATGATTTGTTTTAAAAAATTACCGTTTTTTTTTTGTTTTAAGTTTCATTGCTAATGTACAGCAAATTTATAATCGTTAAAAAACAAGTCAAAAAAAAAAACACAAAAAAGCATAGGATATAACAATAACAATAAAAGCAAATAATATGAAAAAAAAAAAGGAGCGAATAATTTTATTACGGTTAATTTCGTTTATTTTAAGATTAATTTTATTCGATGAAGTAATTTTGAATAAATTTCAAAGAAACGAAATATACCTAAAACAATGACAATGGCCAAGGTAGGTGTAATTTGTATACCGTATAGTCTCATTGTAACTGATTCCTTATGATGTACCGACGGTTCATGTAATGGATATTTGATATAATCAGACTGCTGTCCATTATCATGATTATCAGATATAACAACCTGAATAACTTTTCATATTACGGTTGCGTACAGTAATATGTTAAAATGCAGTAATGTTATCAAGCATACAGTAATGTTATAAATCTTAATACAGTAATGATTTTTTGCTAAATTTTAATACGAAATAAAATTTTCAGAAATATATGGAAAAGATTTTTTGTATGCATCTTTTAAAAATAAACATCGATTTTTTTCCTTTTTATACACTGTTAAAATGCAATTATTAACTTCTCCCTGATCATAAAACAGTGAACTTTGATGAGTACAAATATTGTAAGGATAAAAGGTAGGTGCATGACAAATGCATGTCGTATTTGCATGCATATCAAATATTGGTTCACCATTATGGCATTGCAATTGATTGCAAAATGCATTTGGTTGATTGAAACAGCATGTACAACTGAAAATTACAATAATAACAACACTAATTTAAATTCATTTATCAAAAATTTTGAAAAATTGATCAATCAATTATATATTATTCTACAAACAATAAGCATATTATTTAAATATAACTGAATAAAAATTGACTTTTAAATTACTGTCTGCAACAAATACGATAGTAATTTGGTAATGATTACGATAATGATTATGGTAATGATATTTATATCGAACGAATTTGATAATAATTTAGGATTGATGATGAAATTAACGCTACTTTCTACTACAACATTCAATATAATACGCATTAAAAAACAAACTGTTCATGCTGATTTTCAGGCGTAAAATAGCATTGTGTCATAAATTGTTGACAATTATTTTCTGACATGAGCTGCCTAAAAAAAATGAATTCATTGCTTTTCATATATTTACCTCGTTTGAAGTAAAGTCATAAAAATTAATCATTTTTAATTAAAATGAATTCTAAGAGGTAGGAGTTATTGCAAATAAGTGTTGAATGTGAGGGAAATCAAGTAAAGGTTAAAACAAATAAAAAGCACATAAATACATTTGGTAAATGCAAGCAATCTTAACCTGCAAATGCAAACAATTGGTAATTGATCGTTTTCTCGTTGTTGCATTTCTGGAATAGCAAGCAATAATTTGTATCGTTCAGCTTGCTTGCAAAAATGTGAACGCCAATCAAATGCACATCGACAGGTACGGCCAAAAAGCGCAGCTAATGCAGGTGTAACAATATGTGATCTTGCCAATAATGTTACTTAAATATAAATTAAAATATATCTTAGTGTAACAAAAGAAAAAAAAACCAAAATAATATGAAAGCGAAGCATAATTAATAATAGATGAATAATTAGATAAATTAGATAGCAATCGAAAAATTAGAATAAATTAAAAATTGATGAGTTAGAAAAAAAATTACTTAGTTAGTTCCAAATTGTTTGTCTAAATTTAGCAAAATTAACAAAAAAAGATGTCAAATTAAAAACTTGAAATTTATAACGATAGCAAAACGAATAATAATGATTAATCAAAAATGAATTAACATTTAAAGCATGTAAGTTGAAAACATAAGCGTGAGCGATTTTTATTATAGATAATTGCTTAATTTGAACACTTTTCTCCATTAATTAATATTATCGTTGACTATTGCAATCTGGTTATTTTATTATCTCTTTGTGCTTACCGTAATGAATTTCTATAATTCGTTTCTTACTACAGCCGGTTATTGTAATTCGTCTTCCTTACTGTAACGAATTACTATATTCTATTACTGTAAGCCGTGTAATTCGATTTTTTGTTTACTGTAATTAATTATTATGGCTAATTTTTTTTTTTACAGTTAATACTGCAATGAATTACTACAATTCATTTCTCTTACTAGGTTAGTAGTTGATTTTTTCTTCAAATGATTTATTAAATTAATGATTGCTATGATATTGCAAATTAATAAATAGAAATGGCATAAATTATTTGAAATCATGCTGATATAAAGCAAGGAAAAATTTTTATACTCATTGCAGCATATGTTTAATTACTAGGAATTAAGTCATGACTTCTGTTGTTTATTTTTTAAATATGAATTAATCAATTAACATCAATACTAACCACCATTTGTTTCACAATATCCATTATTATCGATTTTCAATTTAGCGGTCACTAATTGCATTGGCGAATGCGTAATAACTACTAATAGTAGTAATAGAATGGAAGGAAATGATCGTAATTTATACCATTTCCAATTCAATTTCTCTTTACTGCTTTCACTTCTTTCATTTCTCACTTCCCATCTTTCAGAATTTGATGGTTTTTCAAATCGCCATATTTGCATATGATAATTCGAAATAATTTCTTTCTCATCTTCGACAACTTTTAATGATTCGATTGCCGAGATTTCAGTATTTAATGGATGAATTTCAGCTAATAATTGTTTGTTTCGTAATGATATATGAGGAAATTTCCATCGATATATGAACGAACTGTTAGAATGAGCAGATTTCATCGTTGTATATTCATTATCAATCTTATTTTCATTCTTTTCTTGCATAGATCGAAAATTTTCGGTGTAATCGTGAAATTTGCTTGTACTCGGGAAATTTTTACAGCAAATGATCGTATGCTTGGAATTGAAAATTTGCATAGAATGTTGTGGATTCGTCATCAACTAATGATAAATCATTTTGTGTGTGATTGATCGATGAACAATTGTAAATCTGCAAATTAATTTCAGATTTAAATTGAAAAAAAAAGAAAGCAGTATATGAGCGAGAAGAATGAAAATAAAAATTTTAAATTTTCCCTTCAGTTTAAATTTTTAAGCAATCTTTCAAACAAGCTATATTCTGATGAAAAATAAAAAAATTAATTTGGCGAAATATTCCAATGAAAAAATATCGCAGATTATTTTGGCTAAACATTCCGATGAAAATAAAATGATTAACATTCTGAACATTCTGTTGAAAAGAAAAGTTACAATGGCTAAATATTCGGACAAAAATAAAAACATTATAGATCTTTTTTTTAAACAATGCAAAATTTTACTTCAAACAATTTTTGAAACCACCGTTCAATAATGCAATAAATGTTTGTTTTCTTCTAATCTTTACTAATGATGGGCACAGTGAAAACGATATAAAAATTTTCAATTTACATATTCTTAAATAAATTTTGAACTATAAAAGTACAATTTTTTATAAAAGCAACGAAATAAAAATGTTTGCTATTTAGGAAGAAAAATTCGTAAAATCAATAACATTTCTGTTGAATAATGAAGAAGGAAAAAAAATGTTTGGTATAAAATTAATAAATTTCCCATTTCGTTAGAAGCAAAAACTCAGAAATTGCTTACTATACTAATAAACAACAAATGCATAAATTTCTATCAATGGGAAAAAAAAACATCCTTTAAATTACGAAGCTTGAACTACTTGAATAACGACTTGACAACATGAATTGCAGTGAAAAATAAATTTAAAAAAAATCAAGGAAGAAAAATAATGATAATAATAAGATTGGCATATATAATATTATTACTATCAAATATAGAGGAATATCAAGCATAGCTTAATCAAAAATTTCGTTCAATCTATAATTTATATACAAAATGATTGCATGTATATAGTTTCACAGCAGTTTAATAAAATTAAAATTAAAATTTAGGAATGAAAGATGCTGCGTACATTTATGACTGTAATCAATATTATGAAAGTATTAAATTAGTCCAATTTCAATGATTAGAAATATGTCAGAATCTTGAAGTCAATCATTACGAACTACAGTGTAAAATTTATGACTGTTACCGAGTTGTATAGAGTAACTGTTATTGCTGTATCATTTCATAAAGCTAACAATAAAGTATTTTTGGTAGAATTATTAAAACAATTAGACATTCTTATTTTTAAACAACAATATGTACTGTTTGGTTATTATGTGTTAACAAATTTAAAAGAACAAA